TACCTCATGCAGCATTCTGCGCTGTGCTCTTGCAGTCATTTTTACAGGACGACCACGCCTCGGGAGAGTAGCAACAGTGCTAAACTTTCTCCATTTTTAGACAGTCTGTCTTACCGTGGACACATGAACATAAAGGCTTCTGGAGATACTTTTGTAACCCTTTCCAGCTTCATGCAAGTCAACAATTCTTGATCGTAGGTCTTCTGAGAGCTCTTTTCTGCGAGGCATGGTTCACATCAGACAGTGCTTCTTGAAACCAGTAAACCCAAAACAGTGTGTGTGTTTTTTAAGGGCAGGAGAGCTGTCAGCAACACATCCAATATCATCACACTGATTGGAGTCAAGGTTGGCTCACTCCTGGCTCCAATTAGCTCTGGGAAAAGTCATTAAGCTAGGGCCTCACATACTTTTTCCTCCCTGCACTGTGAATGTTTACATGTTATGTGCAATTAAACCATGGCAACATCTAATGTTTGTGTGTAGTATTATGTTCAGCAGACTGTGTTCTTCTATTGTTGTGACTTAGATGACGTTCAGAGCACATTTTATGCCCAATTCATGCAAAACTCCACGAAATCCCAAGGGGTTCACATACTTTTTCTTGCAACTGTATATGAGGGATGAATTAATATGGGGAATGAATTACTATAGGGGGGATGAATTACTATAGGGGGGATGAATTACTATATGGGGGATGAATTACTATGGGGGATGAATTACTATGGGGGATGAATTACTATATGGGGGATGAATTACTATATGGGGGGATGAATTACTATGGGGGATGAATTACTATATGGGGGATGAATTACTATGGGGGATGAATTACTATGGGGGATGAATTACTATATGGGGGATTAATTAATATGGGGAATGAATTACTACAGGGGGGATGAATTACTATAGGGGGGATGAATTACTATATGGGGGATGAATTACCATGGGGGATGAATTACTATGTGGGATGAATTACTATATGGGGGATTAATTACTATGCTTACTATGGGGGAATATTCATTCATCTACTCTTGGTCCGGCCCCCGGGTCCAATATATGAACCCATTGCAGCCCTCAAGTCAAAAAGTTTGCCCACCCCTGGTCTAACCTATTCAAATAGAGTATTGATGCTGCAAGACTCTATCTCTAACTTTTTTGGAATTTCCCCAATATACAATAGATTGCAAGAATACCTCAGTAAAGAAACAGTGTCAGTACTTTGGTAAGTAAGATGAATGATAAACAATATAGTAGGTTGCTATCATAACTACAAAACGTAGTACCTTTCATTAAATTTATACATTCAAAGCATGTCAGACAGGGAAAAGAACCATTTACAGCTTGGTCTAGGAATATTTTTTATATATGTGTTGATACAATGATTTGTAAAAGAAAGTAAATCATATAGTAACATAGGCTACATAACCAGCTACCAAAGCAACCTTTGCCTTTGTGACAAATTTAAAAGAGCTCTCTTTTTTTTACTCCCAGCACATCTTGGTTTCTGTTTTAACCTCTCTGAACAATGCCATCTTTACCATATAATATGACTGTGCAGGTCTAGCAGGAAAAAAAACAATCTCACTACTGCACCAGTTCATCACTCCTCCACCTGTGCTTGTGCACTGAATGTGAAGGCAGTTTGATAGCATTCGGCAGGCAGGACTGGAGGCAATGTTATTGTTAGTATGTTAGTAAATGTAGTCAATCCACCAGCACTGCACCAATCTAAAAAAAAAAGAACTTTCAGTTTGCTTAGTGAACAATGTTTACTACTTTAGTAAATAAACCTTAATATTTGTAATACTAAAATCATAATTATTGGGGGGTGTGGCTTGGTGATTAATGAGTAAGGAGCCTGTTAATTCCAGGTGAAAGAGCTTTCTATTTGGGGTTTCTCTTTGCTGAGCAACCACTAACCTTCTGATGACTAGGCAAGGGAAGTTGAGGGGACTCCAGATGGCCCCCGAAGCTACCTTTCACTGCCTATTTGAAACCCATCCTCACCTCCCAAACTTGCAAATCCTATGGACACTTTTACTGAGATAGGCAGAGTAATGGAGTCCAGGGCGCTATAGCTACAGTCCTGGCAAAGCCTAGAGATGTCCTCTGTAGGGTACAATATGTTGTCAAGAAAGAGGACATTATGAAACAAGCATGAAGATTGGGCCCTCTAAACAGATCTACCTGTACCCGGACATGTCATGTCTACTTTACAAATGAGATGAGTACAAAAATCTACTTTTTCCAAAATCCATGACTCAGGTATAACATATTGGATTGTATATTCATAGTTCTCACAGATGCAGCAAACCCTGTTTGAGTTTTTGGACACTGACCTGATTCCAGTCTCTGGCTGGCTATAGCTCTCCCATAAAATTTCAAGCAACCCATCACTACTGCAGCCTTCAAAGAGAAACTCAAAACAACCTTGGAGACCAAGACCATCGCCTGTTCACTCGACTTGCAACAAACAATAGTTTGCTTAAATCCTAACCTTGCATCATCTCCTCACATTACTTCCAATAGCTAGACCAAGTCTAATCTATGTCTTGTGCTCACAAGTTTGTAAGTCTTCTATAAAGCCCATCTGTGCCTTCCATGCTGCACTGATTTAGACATGCCCTTTATGACTTACCTTTAATAATTGTTTATACCTTCCCAACCTGATCTCCATTCTGTACCCTGGCATCTTGTCCCTGATGCCTCCCTGGCCTATTCTCCATCTAGCCATGCTTTGGATGATTGTGAGTTTCCTGTGTATGCTGGGGGGGGGGGGGTAGATGGAAATGGATCTCCCATTTCCAGGATAATGGAGATGTTAAACTGTAGAGGGATGTGAGTACCTAACCTTTATGAGACATTGTTAACTGTTTGGGTAATTTGCTGATATTTTTATCTAAGTTATTAGGTCTTTCCTTAAAGTAGCACTTATATGCATGTAAACTCTTCAACGTTTACCTTGGTGACTGCTGCCCCCTGATCAAGTTTCGAGGATACACCCCCCCTTAAAAAAATTGTATTACATACAATGTATGTCTTACTTTGATGTACTTTTATTTATGTATTACTTTGATGGAAAACAATTTTGTTAGGATGTCACCCCACTTTTTGGCTGGGGTTGGAAATAGAGTAGTTTGCGGCATAAACATCAGAGGTATGCTTGGGGTTGGACTGAACCATGAGGAGGCGTAGTAAGTAGTAAGGGGGTATTAAACAGGGGGAGAATAATAGGGGGGGTAGTGGGGAGGGGAGGAGAAATTGTGGTGGAATGGGGAGGGAGTACCAGTCTGACCTGGATAGGTAGAACAATTGTTTGTAAGGTATCAGGGTTTTTACGGAGCAGTTAGGGTTTTGTAACCAGTTAGACCATAAGGAATTAAACTTATGCTGGGTGGAGTTGTTGGTGGCCAGTCTTTTTTCCATTTCGCATTGGAAGTTAAGATCTGAAATTAGCGATTGAAGGGAAGGAGCTGTGGCGGTATTCCATAATCGGGTTTATATTTAGTTTAGCGGCAAAAAGTATGTGGACAATGATGGTACGGGAGCTTTATGGGAATTTGTTAATCCCGATGTGTAAGAGCGCAAGTGCCGGATTTGAGGTTATCATTATTTTGGAAACTTCGGCTATTAGTTGGAATACACTATTCCAAAAGTATTTAATAGATTTGCAGGACCATAGTATGTGACGAGTGGAGCCTATGTCCCCGCATTGTCGCCAGCAAGAAGGGGAATGTTTTGGGTAGAAAATGGCTAGTTTGGTAGGGGCTAGGTACCACTGATGAAGTATTTTCAAGTAGGATTCCCAATGTGAGCTGCAGTGAGAGGATTTGTAGGTGGAGTTAAATGTGGTAGTCCATGTGTGGGTTAAAATGGTTTCTGCTAGGGTTTTTTCCCAATTGGATAAAGAGGTAGATTTTAGAGTAAATTGCAGGTCCGTTAAATATTTGTAGAAGGTAGAGATGCCTTTACTTGGGTAATGTGGTCTGGAGAAATAGGTGTAGACCGTTGCCGGGCTTTTTTTATGGTATGGGGTATGTTGTTTGTTTGGATGCAGTGGGTGATTCGTAAGTAGGTGAAGTATTCAGCGGCAGGGAGACTAAATGTGGTTTGATATTGAAAATGAGTGTAGGGTGTGATTTTTGTAAAGGTCTGCTATGTGATGTATGTTTCATTTTTCCCACTGGGTTAAATCTAGGGAGGGTGTAATGGAATGTAATATGTTGAGTGGAGTATGGAGTTGTTTGGAGTCTGCGTAATCTGTGGATAAGAGATCTTTCCAAGCTTGAAGAGTGGCTTGGATACATGAGTGCTTTAAATGATAGGTTGTTTGTAAGAATATTGTGGTTAAGAGTAGATGGTGTGGTTTAAGTGGAAGGAAGGGTGAGATTTCCATTGTGGACCAGGATTTTCTGGTAAATATCGATTGAAGTTTGGAGAAGAAAGTATTGGGGACTGGTATGGGGAGTGTGTGGAAAATATAGAGAATTTCAGTAGGATGAGCATTTTTAATGTCGCCACTCTGCCTATTTTAGATAGTTCTGAGCTACGAAGGTTGGCAATTTCTTGGGGTATAGTTTCAAGTAATTTTTTGTGGTTCGAAGTACCGTATTTTTCGCTCCATAAGACGCACCTGACCATAAGACGCACCTAGGTTTTAGAGGCAGAAAACAGGAAAAAAAAATTCTGAACTAATGGACTGCAGACATAGTACAGGAGATGACCAGAGACTGCGGACAGCACAGGGATGACCAGAGACTGCGGACAGCACAGGGATGACCAGAGACTGCGGACAGCACAGGGATGACCAGAGACTGCGGACAGCACAGGGATGACCAGAGACTGCGGACAGCACAGGGATGACCAGAGACTGCGGACAGCACAGGGATGACCAGAGACTGCGGACAGTACAGGAGATGACTGCTGACCTTTGGGGAGGGGGGGGGGGGGGAGTGGGTACCTGAATTTGACAGGTACCCGCTCTTACTTCTGCGGAGTTGTTCTTTGATCTTACCTGTTCCTCTATCCAGCCGCGTGCTGTCTACCCGGCTTCTGTAGTGTCGGCGCTTGGCATGACAGCCGGGTGCCCAGTGCGCATGGGCGAGAAGCACTTGCGCTTTGTGATTGGTCCGGCAGCTTCTGGGATCTGTCATGTGTCCCGGGTACCGCCTTACCATTCACAAAAAGCACCGCTTCTTGCGCATGCGCACTTGGCACCCGGCTGTCAAACCCAGTGCCCACACTACAGAAGCCGGGAAGACAGCGCGCCGCTGGATAGAGGAACAGGTAAGGTCAAAGAACAACTCTGCGGAAGTAAGAGCGGGTACCTGTCAAATTCAGGTACCCGCTCCCCCCCTCCCCAAAGGTCAGCAGTCATCTCCATAAGGTCCCGCTGCAGAGCTGAGCGGCCGGCCCGGTATTCTGACACAGCGGCAGTGGAAATACTGGACCGGCCGCTCCATAAGACGCACTGACATTTTCCCCCCTTTTTTGGGGGGAAAAAATGTGCGTCTTATGGAGCGAAAAATACGGTAAATAGTTGGTCTATTGTGGCAGAGAGTTTGATTCCTAGATATGGGATGCTATTTTTTTCCCAGGTGAAGGGGAATTGTTTAGCAAGGGATAGTTGAGTGAAATATGGTGTGTGGAGGTTTAAAATTGAGGATTTGGGCTTGTTTAGTTTATAATAGGAGACCGTCGTATATTGTTGAAGATGGGTACATATTGTTTGGAGGGATTTGGCTGGGTTGGTAATCATCAATATGATGTCGTCTGCGAATAGGCTAATTTTGTGCTCAGTGTTAAGGTGTCGTATGCCAGTGAACATTGGGTCATCTCGAAGTTTAGAGGCTAGGGGTTTATTAAGTAATGCAAATGTGACAGGAGATAGAGGGCAGCCTCGTCTGGTGGTGCCATTGGTAATATCAAAGGGATCTGATAGTGTTCCGTCTGTTAATACTCTGGCTGAAAGGAGGGAGTATACTGCTAAAATGGCTGTTAACATCCAACCTGTGATGTCAAATTTCTGTAAGGTCATTTGCAAAAATAGCCAGTGTATGCAGTCAAATGCTTTTTCATCGTCCAGTGATAAAAGCAATGAGGGTTGTTTGGTGTGCTCTAAGTGATGGATGAGGGATATGAGTCTTCTAGTAGCATCAGGTGCATGGTATGAATCCTACTTGGTCTGGGTGTATCAGAGTGGAAAGATAGGGGAGTAGTCTGCGTGCTATAATTTTTTCATAGAGTTTGACGTCTGTGTTAAGTAGGGAAATTGGTCTGTAATTTTGGACAGACTGTGGATCTTTGCCAGGCTTTGGTATTGTGGTTATTATCGATTGTAGCATGTCTTTGGGGAATGTGCCAGTGGTGGCCGCGTGATTAAAGAGTCTGGTCAGATATGGTGAAAGGTTAGGGGCAAATTGTTTGTAGTACTCATTTGTATAACCGTCGTTTCCTGGAGACTTGTTAAGAGGAAGTGTTTTAATGTTGGATTCTATTTCAGTGAGAGAGATCGGGATTGATATGTCGTCAAGTTGAGTTGAAGAAAGTTGAGGGAGTTTAATTGTGTGGAGGAATTTCTGTATGGATGTAGGTGTTGGTTGGATGGCGTTAAAGTTGTCTTTAAGGTTCTATAGTTGTTTGTAGTAGGTCGCGAAGGCATTAGCTATGTCTTGCGGGTTTGTGGTTAAGGTTCGTGAGGATGGATAATAAACTGATGATATTTTGGTTTTTAGTCGTCGTTGTTTAATCATTTTGATTAGTAAGGAATCGGCTTTGTTGCTAAGGGAGTAGAATGTAGTTTTTGTTTTTTGAAGGTTGAGGTCATATTTGTAGAGTAGGAGGGTTCTTAGTTTGTTTCTGTCAGTAGTGAGTTGAGCGGAAGTTACAGAGTTTGAGGATTTTTTGTTTAATTCTTCTTTTGTTTTAATTGAGAGGAGGAGATCGTCGATTTGTTGGTTTCTTTGCTTGGAGATACGAGAATTTAGTTGTATAAGGATACCTCTCATGTATGCCTTATATGCAGACCATAATGTGGGTACCGATATTTCAGTTGAGTCATTTATGTCAAAATCATATTATGAGCGTCCAATATAAATCTTTTGTGGTTCGGTTCTTCAGTAAGGATGAGTTAAGTCTCCAGATACGGGGGATTGAAGAGTGTTGATTGTGATCTAAGGAGATGGAGATTGGAGCGTGATCCGACCAGGTTATGGTACCAATTTCGGAGGATGTGGCATGTTGTAAAGTCCACTTGTCCTTGATGAAAAAGTCAATTCTGGAGTAGGAGAGTTGAGATGAGGAATAGTAGGTGTAGTCTTTTTCCATACTGTGATGGCATCACCAGATGTCGTAGAAGTCATTCTTATGTAGAAAGATGTTAAAAGATTGTTTGGAGGAGCGTTTGCAGGAAGAAGAGTTCAAGAGTGGGTTGCCGATAATGTTGAAGTCTCCTCCAATACTTAGGCTGCCTTTTTTCTGAGCGGAAATAGTAGAATTGATTTTGTTGTAGAATTGGAGTTGGTTGGTGTTTGGACCATAGATGTTGACCAGGGTGTATAGGATTCCATTAATTTTGCATATCAGGATATGGTAGCGACCTTGTGGGTCTGCGATTTCTGAGATGTAGTGGTATTGGAGAGAGTCTCTTATGGCTGTGATGACGCCGTTCTTCTTTTTGGGGCTGGTTGCCATATAAATTGGAGAAAAATGGTGTATGTGAAATTTGGGGATTTTGTTGGTGGCAAAGTGGGATTCTTGAAGGAATAGGACATCAGCCTGCAAAGAGCGAGCTTCTTTTTGTAGTAGAGATCTTTTGAACGGTGAGTTGAGGCCATGGACATTTAAGGATGATATTTTAATCATAGTGCTGGATGTAGGCGAGTTGTCCGCAGTAGAAGAGGTATTTCTTAGGTTATTTAGAGTAGTGGCATATCTTTTTGTTGGTTTGGAGACGTTTCCACAAAGAAGAGGTAACGTGCTGGATGCGGTTGCTGGTTTGATCAGGATGTTTCATCTTGTAGGTTGTTTTTTCGAGGGAGGAGAGGTTGAGTCGATCAACTGGTAGAAGTAGGAGGGTAAAAAACTTGTTGAAAACACAAGTGGTATGTGTAGAACTTATTGCTACTGTGTAACGGGGGGATTTGAACATACAGTTGCAAGAAAAAGTATGTGAACCCCTTGGGATTACGTGGAGTTTTGCATGAATTGGGCATAAAATGTGCTCTGAACGTCATCTAAGTCACAACAATAGAAGAACACAGTCTGCCCAACATAATACTGCACAAACATTAGATGTTGCCATGGTTTAATTGCACATAACATGTAAACATTCACAGTGCAGGGAGGAAAAAGTATGTGAGGCCCTAGCTTAATGACTTCTCCCAGAGCTAATTGGAGCCAGGAGTGAGCCAACCTTGACTCCAATCAGTGTGATGATATTGGATGTGTTGCTGACAGCTGTCCTGCCCTTAAAAAACACACACCTGTTTTGGGTTTACTGGTTTCAAGAAGCACTGTCTGATGTGAACCATGCCTCACAGAAAAGAGCTCTCAGAAGACCTGCGATCAAGAATTGTTGACTTGCATGAAGCTGGAAAGGGTTACAAAAGTATCTCCAAAAGCCTTGATGTTCATGTGTCCACGGTAAGACAGACTGTCTACAAATGGAGAAAGTTTAGCACTGTTACTACTCTCCCTAGGAGGGGTCGTCCTGTAAAAATGACTGCAAGAGCACAGCGTAGAATGCTGCATGAGGTAAAGAAGAATCCAGAGTGTCAGCTAAAGACCTACAGAAATCTCTGGCACATGCTAACATTTTTGTTGACACATCTACAATAAGGAAAACATTAAACAAGAATGGAGTACATGGGAGGACACCACGGAGGAAGCCATTGCTGTCCAAAAAGAATATTGCAGCACGTTTGAAGTTTGCAAAAGAGCACCTGGATGTTCCACAGCACTACTGGCAAAATATACTGTGGACAGATGAAACCAAGATTGAGTTGTTTGGGAAGAACACACAACACTATGTGTGGAGAAAAAAAGGCACAGCACACGAACATCAAAACCTCATCCCCACTGTAAAACATGGCGGAGGGAGCATCATGGTTTGGGGCTGCTTTGCTGCCTCAGGGCCTGGACAGATTGTTGTCATTGATGGGAAAATTAATTCCAGAGTTTATCAAGACATTTTGCAGGAAAACGTATGACCATCTGTCCGCCAACTGAAGCTCCGCAGAGGATGGGTGATGCAACAGGACAATGACCCAAAGCATACAAGTAATTCAACAAAACAATGGCTGCAACAGCACAGAATACGCCTTCTGGAGTGGCCCAGTCAGAGTCCTGACCTCAACCGATTGAAATGCTGTGGCATGACCTTAAGAGAGCGATTCACACCAGACATCCCAAGAATATTGCTACACTGAAACAGTTTTGTGAAGAGGAGTGGTCCAAAATTACTCCAGATCGTTGTGCAGGTCTGATCTGCAACTACAGGAAACGTTTGGTTGAGGTTATTGGTGCCAAAGGAGGCTCAACCAGTTATTAAGTCCAAAGGTTCACATACTTTTTCCTCCCTGCACTGTGAATTTTTACATGTTATGTGCAATTAAACCATGGCAACATCTAATGTTTGTGTAGTATTATGTTGGGCAGACTGTGTTTCTTCTATTGTTGTGACTTAGATGACGTTCAGAGCACATTTTATGCCCAATTCATGCAAAAAACTCCACGTAATCCCAAGGGGTTCACATACTTTTTCTTGCAACTGTACATGACTTACGTGGTAGTCATGTTGACGAGAAACTTGGGGTTCGAGGATGATCGTAATGGGGCCGTCTGCCAGCCATTAGTGGTTGATAAATAGAGTCCCAGCTTGTTGGGTGGTTGTTGATGGTGGTGATCTTAGGATCTGGACCATTCTACTTCCATGTGTTGTGTATGGTTGGAGGTGGATTGGTGGGAGTCCACTGGTATGATGTTCCAGGTTTTCAAGAGATTGATGCCTGCTTCAAGGGTTCTAATCGTAAAGAGCCTTCCTTGTTGTTTAACAATGAGCTTTGTGGCAGGGGCGGACTGAAAACTTGGCAATAGGGGATCATGGGGCCCCTGTGTCCTTGCCCAAACAAAAAAGCCTATGAAAAAGGTACCAGGGGCATCTCATGGGGCCCCCTACTGACCCCGGGCCATCGGGCAGTGCCGAGTTTCCAAATGGTCAGTCCGCCCCTGGTTATATGCCTGTATAATTTTATTGAATGTGAGTCTCATTTTGATATAATAAATCATATATTTTAATGTACTTTACTATGGGGATATCCTTGTTTGTGTGAGTATACCACATAAACAGGGACCAGACATTTAAAGGGCCACCAAGAATTTGAACGATCTGCATAGTGGATGTAG